AAACCTGTCAAAACATGAATTCGTCATGAAAAAAGCAGTCAGGGAGTGTTTGATGATTGAGCCCTGCTGGTAACACAAGTGGTGAATAATTGAAAAGATCAAAAAAAATAAAAAATAAAGCCAGCTTGTGGATGACTCTGTTGTGCTTTTCCCTGCAAAGCTGATGGCCTGTTTTAATGAAGTCTGTATAGCTGAAGTCCTGCTAGTCCTGCTAAAGAAAGTAACCAAGCTAGTTTTTATTATTAACATTAATAATTAATATATATAATTAATATATAATATAAATAACATATAATGTATAATATATAATTAATATATTAATAAATAATAATAATAATAATAATAATAATAATAATAATAATAATAATTTTTATTTAACAAAAAGAAAGAAACCTCTCAGGCATCCTTGGGTGGCCTGTGGTCCTCTAGACATGATCTTGCTCCTGTGCTTGTCCTTAAAATGCTCCATTTAGCTGTTGCCTTCAGCTGGGTGGCACAGTGGATGAGTGTGACCATGGGATGCTTCCTGCACTGAGCTGTCCTCCGATGTGATGCCCTCTCAGGACACGTCTGTTTGCCTTGGTTTCCTGCACCTGCCCCCCCTGGGAGGGCAAAATGCTCAAATATCTCCATGGGCAGGTGGTGTTGCGATGCTGAAAGCTGGTGCTGGCAGAGGGGTAGGTCCTTATTCAAAAGGAAGCGTTTCCCACCCAAATGAAGATGGTTTTTATGTTCTCGGTTGGCTTTTTATACAGATTGGGCAGCACGTGGAGGGAAACTGGCTGATTTCTTATGTGAAAGTGTATCCAAGTTTTAATGTGGTTGTCTTCGGGCTTTCACAGCAGAGCCCTGCTGAGGCTGTGGTTCCTCACTGAGGTTCAGTATTTTGTTCAAATACTGGAGGAGAGAAAGTCAGGGGTAGGAGCTGGACATGGGACATGCAAGGCAGGGGTGGTTTGCCTGAGAAGATGAAGTACTCTGCCCACTTTAAAATGGTAATAATAAAACCTCACCCACAAAACAAACAAACAAGAAAACAACAAAGGCTTGTCAATAATGAATGACTTGCTGGCCAGAACGAAATTCTGGGGGCCAGCTGTGTAAAGGGGTAATGATTAATTCCCAGCAGGGTCTGGAAGCTGCAGGTCTATGGAGGTATTTTTATCCCCAGCCCCAATGTGGGGAGGCTCGCTGTACAGATTAGGGCAGTTCGTGTTTAGCAGCTGGGCTTTTTAAAACAGACATCAGCATCGGTGTGAAAAATGTCCAAGGGAAGCAAGGATGTTCTCCAGCGATAGGGCACCACCAAAGAGCGCCCTGGAAAAAATAATTGCCCTGCAGCAGTATTGAAACCTAATGGATTTTCCTGTGCAACTCCAAGGCAGGCAGGAGAGGAAAATCAGCGTGTTTCATTGGGCACAGCATCGTGTCGTTTTCCCACGAGGATGTGTTGTAGCTGCAGCGTGGTTATGTAAATGCCTCCATGATAAAGCAAGTCCTTCATTTCTTTTATGCTCAAATCAGTATGTAAAAAAAAAATAAAATAATAAAATAAGAGAGAGAAACTCTGGGAGATTTGAACAGTGCAGAAAATGCCATCGTACCCTGCTGTTACATAAATTCAGGTTCTCTCCCTCTCTAAAATCAATTGTCCTGGGAAGCTGCACTGCAAGCTGACACATGGAAGCACTTTGTCACAAGCAATTATACCATGCTACAGTAAATTGCTGCACAATCTATTACATTATGGGACACTCGATGTGTGCAACATTTTTCTCTAATCAGTCTGCCTAATTACCCATTAGCAGAAATGAGATTTGCAAGATTTTCCTAAGACTTTTCCAAAGAAAGGGTATTTTTAAAAGGAAATGGTAAGTTTCCCTATTTAGTATTTTGAGTTGTATCTGTTGAAAAGACTGTTCTGTTCTGAAATCGGGGAAATTGTTGTTTAACTAATGCCTTCTCACTGGAGAGCATCCTGTGGCACAAGCCACCACCCTGCACTGATCTGGCAGCCCCACACACAGGACTGTGGTTCTGGGTGGGTTGTGCGGGATGCTGGCCGGCTCTAACACTGACTGGAAGACAAAGCTGAAATATTCCTTTATCAAGTACAGGGGAATTTGAAAATTTAAGCAGCTCAAAACCACCTTATTGTGACTTTTTTCCTGTTTGCCATGACTAGCAAATCCAGTGCAGCAGGATGTGAGCAGAGGCAGGCTCAGATTAAATCCATACAGCCAGAGTACCTTTGCTTCAATTAGATCATGACCACTTGCACCAAGACACAGCTTAAAAATATCATAAATGCCATTTTTTTGAAAAAAAAAAAGAGGAGACATTGCTGACTGCTAGGTGAGATGGGAGAAGGAGTACGAAAACTGAAGCTGGTACAAGGGAGCAGAAACAGCAATTCTTTTCGTGACACTCTTGCAGATGCAGTCGGTGGGGCAGGTGGCTGTGGCAGGGCACGTGGCACCGTTTAGTCTTGGATAGCATCACAAAGAGCTCTGTGCTGAGGCTTTAGGAGGTCTGCCTGGAAATCCTTTAGTTCAGTCTACTGCTTTATGTACACAAAAAAACGAAGGTTTTGGTACCTCTTTTGCCCTTTGGCTGGCATGCCTCCCACAGACTGTATATAGATTGCAGCGGCTACACAAAGGTTATGTTTTTTAAGCGAGGTATTCATGTTCACCTCGCTGCATCTGCACATCTTCAGTAGCAAAAGGTAAGCTGAGATAATAGCAGCCTTCGTACAAAGGAGAGTTTGGCTACTCTCAACGGAGAGCATTTTATGGTCACCTTTCTCCCACTTCACCTCCTTGATCACTTGAGGCGTTTATCCCACTTTTTCCTGACGGTCTCCTCTCTGTGCGCCAGCACCTCCAAAACCATTGGCACCCTGAGCATCCCGTTCTGGCAGCTGGGAGGGATGCGGGGCTGTGCTCCAGCTGCGCCCCCAGCACCCTGCTGCTGCCTGCAGCTAGCGACAGGTCGGTGTTTCACACGGGGGCTGGGAGCCCGGCTGGCTCTGCTCGAGCAGCCGGGCGTCACGACAACATCTGCTCTCCGTGCTTGTCTGCAGACGCCTTGGCTGAGACAAGAGCAGAACGAGCATGGTTTTCACCGCTTCCCCCTCTGCTGTTTGTAAATTGCTTTTCCCAGATGGACTACTTTATCTGTTAAGTGCTGCACTTCTAGCTAGTTTTGCCATTGCTTCTTGTGAAGTCTCCTTTCCTTCCTGCCCTTCGCTTTCTCATTACGCCTTTGTACGTCTGTTCTGGCATAATTTGGCTGGTGCTTTAAACTCTGGTGCCTTTATGAGTTATCGCTCATTCTGACCATCTTGACAAAGACTTGAGAAAGGCTTGCTCCTTTCTGCAGCCTTGCTTGGATTTTGATTTGATTTGGAGGTCTCATTTTAATTCACTTTCACCTTAGGAACAGGCATAATTTTGTAGTGACTTAATTTCTTTGTTCCCCCTGGGTAGCAGGGAAATGCAATCACACTTAGGTTCCTCTGGTAGCTCCCATCCAGCACGCAGCAGCAAAGGGTGCTTTGTGGCTCAGATGTGCTGCACACACACTTGGTTTTGGGGAACATGACAGCCTTACCTATTCTGAAGGAGACGTCCCTTAGGCAATAGCCATGTTTCATTTAGCAGTTAAATTAGATCGGTCCCAGCAGCTGCGTTTAGGATATTTGGAAATGTGACCCCTGGAGATGCTCTCTCCTTGCCTGCGTGGTCCTGCAGCTCCTGCAGCACTGCCAGGAGGTGCATCGGGAGCTCCGACCCACAGCGCTTCCTCGGGAGGGAAGCTGGAGAGCATTAACCTTTTGCTCCAACCTGCCACTAATTGCAAAGCTGTGCACAGACAGAACTGCAATCAATGTCGCTGAGGAGTAAAGGGGGGTAAGGAAGTAATTTGGGAAGCAAACAACAAAGTGCTGCTGTACAGGGCAGCTGAGTGCCATAATGAGCTTTGCTGCTCTGCTCGGTGATGTCTGGAGATGATGTTTGAGTTATGGGATAACACAGCGCGGGCATTCACAAAACCTGAAATGGTCACTTTGCATGCAGCCTATAAACAGCTCCAACCTGGACTTTGAAAGTAGCAGATTGGGCTCCTGAGCAGCTTTTCTGTTTCATTTCTGGTGCTCAGCTCCCTTTTCTCTCCCAGAAGGCACACAGTGAGACCTTACGCGTGATTATTTTTTTCCTAATGTCCCTCAGAATGACTTTATCCATCTTTCCCCTGCTTCACTGGTTGCAGCATGCCCACTGCTGGGTGTTTGTCAGCTCCCAGGCTGGTTTTTCCCCTCTCTTTATAGGAGTTATGTAGTGGATCCAGACAGAACAAGCTAAAAGGCAATAGCAACCATCAGGTGAATACCATCCTTTCGAAGATAGGACTGTGGCACCTATGCAAAGACGTGGGTTTTTGGACATTTTTGCTGGGGCACAAAACCCAGGTAAATCCTGACTCGCCAGGCCTGACCCAAGCACGTGCAAGCCCCGTGGCCGAGCTGGCTCCATCCCTGCAGGGCTGGTGTTGGGACGGGGATGCTCCTGCCTCCCCTCTGCTCTGCCGACGTGCTGTGGGGCCAAGCAGAGCTGGGACAGACATCAAAATGTGTCTACATACAGGTATACACAAATATATATGGCTTTGGCAATGGGTAGATATTGCCTGGGCAGCTAGTGCTTGTGTAGCAGAGACGTGGTATTTTTAAACTAAAGGAAGAAAGACTTAAAAAAATAATCTTGTTAATAAAAGCTGATTGGTTCCTAACTTAATTAGAGATGGGAACAAGGGAGCCCGAGTGACATCTGTTACTTCTGCCTTCTGCAACATTTTGTTTTTTCCATGGATGTCACTCAAGGAGAGGCATATTCCTTATCCATTTCTTCTGAGATACAGTTCCAATTCCTTAGCAATTAATATCAGAAATGGCTGTTATGTGAAATGAAGCAAACAGTGACATTTTTTATACTGTAATATTTTTGTTCATTCCTTTTATTACACAATTTTATTTCCGACTGTTAGTTACAGTGTGTGAAACAAACCTCCTATGTTTGTTTGAATGCTAATGGCTGTGTGCTGGTTCTGCACGTCCATCTGATCTCTGGAAGGGGCCGGGCTGGCAATGCACGCTGCCACCCGTGGGAGCTGCTGCCTGGGGACACCAGCCCCGTCCACAGGAGTGGCTCTGAGGAAGAAGCTGAGGTGGTTTGTCCCCTCCCAGGAAAACCTTGCCCCGTGCCTGAGGCCTGGGTTTGAGAAGGAGAACAGGCATGAAGCAAAGCCAAAGGTCAGCCAAAGGGTACCTGGACCTGGAGCATCCCCTGCTCTTTTGTGACTCGCAGGGATGTAGCCAGGGGCTGAAGTGCCCAGCGTGTCCCAGGGGCCCCCCACGTAGGTGGGAGGAGGCTGTGGGGAAGCTGAGATGGTAAATGGCCGAGCAGGAGCTGGCTCGGGGAGCCGTGAGGGTCGGGTTGTGTCTGCTGGCTCCTGCCCTGAGGAGGAACACAAGATAAAAAACTTGAAACTGTTGCTTACACAAAACCACAATAACGCACGGGGGATGCACATGAGAGCAGTAAATACTGTTCTGCAGTTAATTCAACTGCTTAAAGGACTCTGGTGTAAAACAAATCTCATTGCACACAAATCACATTGCATCCCCGACATTACCTGGGCACTTTGTGCTCCACCTTGTAGCCCGCTTTGTACCAGAAACCCTCTTTCTCTCCCTCCCTCATCCCATGCTTTATTTTTGACATGAGACACAAGCTCCCGTCGATGACACTTACCATAAATCAGCAGCAGTCGGGAGCAGGGCCCAGGACGGGCTGCAGAAACCTGAGTGCCATTGATCCGCGTGATTACCGCAGGCACCAAGCCTTCCCTTCCTCCCGTCTGGTCTCCATCTGCAGGCTCGGTGTGCCCGTCCTCTCATGACTTCTGCAGCCATAAAATGCCTGATTTATTGTATCGGGCTGGGGAAGAAGGCTGTTTAACTCGCCAGTGCCCTGTCTGGGCCCCGGGGTGGGTGTGAGGGCTGGGGACGCAGCCGTGCATGGGGCAGCGCGGCGGGGACTGTGCCAGGCTGTGGGGACAGACGGGAGACAGAGGACAAATCAAAAAGCATTTAGCTCTGTAGTATGTACCAAAGCATCCAGCTCTTTACTAAGTACTACAGCAACAGAATTTTACTCTCTGAGCTGTGGGACTGCAAGATTAAATGGGTGCAATAAAGATTCAGGAGAGAGCAGTTGTTTGGGATGTCTCTGCGACCGACCTGCAGCTGCCCACGTTTGCATTCCTCACCACCAGGATCTGGCTAAAGGCTGGGAAGGAAGGAAGAAGTTGCATGCTGCTGGTGACACCAAGCTGGGAAGACCAACAAATGCCATGCAAAGAGCAGTGAGCAGCAGAGGGGTGTTAAAAGCCACTCGGGTGACTTTCATTCTGCTGGCTCGAAGTAGTGTGCGTGGAAAACACACCTGAAAGCAGCTCCTGCCCCAGCCCCAGCTTTATGCTAAAGGGGGGTGTGTTGGCTGCTGTGATGCTTTTGGGTACTAGCTGTGTATTTCTGGTCAAAGCTTGCCCCGAGCATTACTGGGGCTCTCAGAGCAGCACATCTCCACCAGCATCGCACCCAGCAGTGGCTGCCAACGCCTCCGGGACCGCATCTCCAACAGGCTGGGGTGTCCTAGGAGGGTTCAGGAGCACTGCTCGTCCGTGACATCACCTGAAAAGTCCTAATCACGTTTAATTGCAGAGCCCAGGGAGTACAACACACATCAGATTTGAACGGGCTGTGGAAAGGACAAAAAACATTAGCAGTTGTAACACAGAGCAAGTTACTGCTCCCCCGACAGATATTTAGCCTTCTGCCTTTAAACATATGCAGGAAATATAAAACAATAAAATAAAACATCATGGGAAAGCTGTTACCTTTCAGATCCAAGTATAAATATTTAAAGTCGAGGTGGCTGAAGTTTCGTGGCTCACTGTCAGAAACGGGCTGAGGGAAACCAGCCGGGCTGGCAGCACCACGGTACGGAACATGTCAGAGGACTGCATAAGCTCTTAAACCCAGATGGGTAAATTAATTTATTCTGTGCTTAACGGTGCCTCGGCACGAGCCCAGGTGCTGCTAATCCTGAGGGCAGGCTGCCCACAGCACCAGAGCTGGGGCATTTTCTGGTTTGGCTCTTTGAGTTTATTCCCAGGGGATTCTGTAGTGAAAGGTGATGATGCACTGCTGGGTTCACTGGAAATTTAAACGTTGGTGTCCAAGAATTTTATTGCAAGCTAATTTTAGTTAAATAGCCTACCTGGAATTCACATGGAAGTGAATGCTTCATAGTTTTCATTTCATAGGAACTGGAAAATTTGCTGGCTGGGCCATGTCCCCTGTTCAGCTGCAGCCCCAGCAGGGCCCAGCTGCCCCTTGGTGCCGAATGCATCTTTGCTGTGCGACTGGTCTGAGAAATCTCACATGTAAAGTCCACAAAACAAAATTACTAGTTCAGTCCTTTAACTCACTTTCTGCAGGAATTTATTCATCGTCTCCAGCATAGTGCATCTCAGGGTTAAGATCTCAGAGATAAGCAATCAATATCCTCGTAGTGGGGGCCTGGGGGTTTGGGAATTACCAAGACCCTGGGCTCCCCAGGAGGGTGCGTGTTAGCTAAAAGTGCATTTACAGACACAGCAGCTGGCATCTGTTAGAGGTAAATGGTTTGAAAAAATATCTTTCCGTTCCTCACTCCGCACTATTTGTTTTGATCATGATATAAACAGATAGCTTAATAAAACGCTGAAGTATAGCTGCTGAGACTAATGCCCAGCTGGCAAAATATGTGATCTCTGAAGCAAAATCTGCCACATTTTGAATGCATATATTAAAACTAAGGCTTGCTGGTACGTTTTTATGATGATTAATATTTACAATGCTGTGTTTACAACTCACTGTGAAATGAATATCCATTTACTATTTTAAAGTGCTTAATTTTATGAATCATTTCCAGCTACAAACCCAGAATTTAGAGCAGTGCGTAACTTCTGTACAGCTGGAACTCTTTTGCTTATCCATAAATTCAAGCAGTACTTCCCCAAATCCCCATTTCCTTCTTCTCCGGTAAAACCCAGCCACCACTACGTGCCTCAGAGAAAAGTATTGTGTTTTGGTAAACCATCATAGGGGGATGTGGTTTGCCTTAATGGACTCATTATTTGCAGTGACACTCCTGTCCCCACGCAGCCCCCTCCTCCCTGTGCAGGTCCCAGTTCTGGGGTTTAATGTTGCTGTGAGCAGAGCTTCCTGGTTAAACCAACCTCCACCTATGCAGTGGGATGGCTGAAAAGCCACACATTTCCATAAAAGCTAGTTTTACTAAAGCCTTTGAGATCCTACATATTAATATTAATAATAATAATATTTTATTTTATTTTATTTTGCGTTTTTCCTCATCCTGCAAGGTAAGGTTTCCTTGGAGAGCATGGTTACCTTTCTGGCAGGAAAACCTGATACTGGAGCATCTTATTTAAAAATAAGGATGGGGTAGGTGGGCTGGGAAATAACAAAGTGACTCATCTATTGCATGAGGAGAGCATTAATTATCTTAAACATTTTTTAAGAGAGGGCTGAACTGACCTTTGGGTGAAGTTGTCCCATCCGTGCCAGTGCCCTTCCACTGCCCAGGATTCAATTTTCTCCAAATTTCTGCCACACTCCTTTGGCTGTTTGCAGGGTGAGGTGCTGGTTTCCTCGTGGTGCATGGTGCTTGTACAGTGGTTTGCCTCCAGAGCAGCTGGTCGCAGCGTGGGGACATTTGAACCTTGCATCTTGAAGGTCTTCTCCAACCTGGGCAAGTCTATGATTCTGTGAAATACAGCAGGGGTTATAGAAGTTGGTGGGTCCAGGGGTAGCTCGTGGGGATTCCAGCTAAACGAAGCCTTCCAGTGGCAGGAAGGAGGTTTGTGTGTGACGTGTTTATGCAGGGACGGGCAGTTCTGGAACAGCTTCTCCAGCCCTTCCATCAACACCACTCTTCCTCCATCAGCGTTACTCCACAGTCCCGATTCCTGTGGTAAAATTGCTAGAAAAGCCGAGCTTGGCCTGAGCCCAGGCTGCCATTAGGCGACGAGGAGGGCTGGAGGAGGCGGCCCTCCTCCTTGTGTCTCGCTAGAGGCAGGACCAGGCCCCTTGCACACGAAGGGCACTGCACCATCACGGCCTGCTGCTGCTGGGTGGACTGGGTCAGGGGAACCCATGAGGTGCCACATAGGGCTTGCCTCTCACCATCCTGGCATCTCCTATGGCTGGAATTAAATGCGATGTCCTCTTCTGAGGGACCTCGGCCTAGCCTGGGCGAGATACAAAGCCCCAGGAATTATTTGCCCCTTGCCCCGCCGTACAGAGGTGGGGGTCAGTGCAGGCAGCCCAGGCTTGGCCTCAGCAGGCTCGCTGCAACACAAAACCGCTCACAGAGGGAAGGAGCTGGCTCCTCAGGTGATAATTTCCAGTAATTAATACCGCAGGGAGAGCTCTACCCCCTAATAGCATAAGAGCCCAGAAAGCCTGCTAGGAAAGTGCCTTTTTCTCAGGGTAATGCATTTCGTTTCTGTGGGTCATTTTCCTGACAGAAACCAGAAATATTGCCTTGTAACAGAGCAGGGCTCTGAGCCTGGCTCCTCGCACACACCTCTGTTTGTTTGCACCTAGCAAAACTGATAAATGTTAAAATAAAAAGCTGTGCCTCATTTTTTAGCTAATTAATCAATTTAGTGCTCTTTGATTTAATATTTATATAAGGTTCATGGATCAAATCCTGCAACTTGTAACTATAGGTAACTAGGGATCTCTTCTTGCTAGGTGGCCTCTGAATTGGGTGGGAATTCTTATTGCAGGGAGGTGTAAATACAGGTGTTAAGGATTCAGGTGGCATGACTCAAAATGTGAACATCTTCAGGCAGAGCATTCACTCAGCCCTGAGCAAACTCTGCTGTGGCTCCTTCAGAATTGGCTGCAAGCAGCTAATTATGGATCAGCTGGTAAATGACATGCTTTCAAGAGCTGTTCCAGGCCCGAATGCAGGACACAAATAAACTGAAGGAGGGAAAAGGAGCGGAGCCCCTCACTAGCGCGTCTCTGTACATGTGGCTAGTTGTGTTCAAGACTTCGTGTTCTGGGGGAAGCATAAAAATTAGTGCCTGCTGGAAATGTATCAGTTACATTTAGTGGAAGGAAATAAAAAGGCAAACACCGTTCCCCTGGTGCTCCCCCATCCCCTGGTCCTCGCCATGCACACACTGCGCTGGCTGCACCGGGTGAGGCAGGTGGCAGTGAGGGCTGCAACCAAACGGTGCTGTGCCTTACACCCAGAGCCAGTAACAACGTGCTCAACGAGAGCACACAGACAAAGAAAAGTATCAGGAGCCTCATCCCCCCAAAATGAAAATGACAGTTTATAGGAATTATTTCTTTTTATTTTATTTCAAGAAGCTCAATTAAACAAAAGTTTAAAAAGCAAAGCTCTCTGGAATCCACCCCAAAATGCTTTCTAGAGAAAATAATATATTTCAACTGGCTTGACAGCTGTAGCGATCCTTTTGTACTTTATTAGGATAAAGAGTCAGTCTTCTCCATCCATCGTGGAGATTTAATAAAACCTGCTTTCTGTAGCTCAGCGTTTCCTTTGCTTTTCTCTGCTTCTTCGCTTTCTTCTCCAGCTCGTGGCAGAGGGGGAAGCAAGGCACAGCAGTTTTGCAGTTTGCTCCTGCTCTGGGAGCATTTTGCACACTCTCACGACAATGTTCCTGCAAGTATGGGGTGCAGGACTGAGCATGGAGCCTGGCTGCAGGGTGCAGGGGTGGGATGCTGATGCCTTTCCTCCCTGGGATGTTGCAGAGGGAGCAGGGTGAGGGGTCTTGGCTCAGAGCATGTTTGTAGAAGGGAATTGGAGAGAGCTAAAACAGTCCTTTGGCTTTTCTTTTCCTTTACATTACAAGTCTCCCACTCTCACTCTTTTTGCTCATGTTGATTTGGGGGAACACAGGAGGAAGAGAAGGTTTTGTGCCCTCAGCCCAGCTCCCAGCCCCATCCATGGGGGACTCCCAGCTCTGTGCCCAGCCCCCCAGCTCCCAGCTCCATCCTCCAGAGCAGGGATGCTGCAGGAGGTGGGTGCCCAGTGCAGGATGCCAAGCTGGTGCAGAGAGAGGAATCTGGGGAAGAGGAGGAAGGGGATGCTGGACTACACTGCTGGGGCTTGGTCCTGGCAGCACGGCTGTTGCAGCGCTTGCTCGTAACTACCCAGCGAAAAACCTCGATTCTGAGAAGCTAATGAATGCACAGCAGTCTCAGACAAGTACAAAAAGCAGCATCTTGCTTGGCCCCAGGGGAAATTTTCCATTACAGCAGTGGAGACCTCACTTCAGCAGAGCCAGCTTCTGGTTTGCAGGACAGTCTGCGTTAGCAGCACCAGCAGAGTCTGGCCAAGGATGCTGCAAGTGCCCCCCCAGCTCTCATCATGCTCTGTGCATGGTGCTCGCATCCCTGCTTAAAAAATGACAAGGAAGGTGGTTTTTTTCTTCCTTTTTCTTCTTTTTTATTTTTTTTTATTTTTCTTTTTCCCTAAGAATCCCAATAAAGCAGAGCCTGGCTCGGCCCCCCTCCTGTCCGCTGTCCTACACGTGCACCCCCAGCATGCCCATGCAGGCAGGACAGGCACGAGGCAGCCGTGAGGACAGGTTGGCTGCAGCCGGTCGTGCTGACCCCAGCAGTCCTCGTGTCCCCAGGTCAGGATGACAGTAAAACGAGCACAAAGAGCCAGTGTTAACGACTGCTGAAACTGAAAAGGAGGAAAAACCCTCCTGGCTTCCTCCCGCTTTGCTGAATCCAAGTGCAATGAGCAAGCAGTTTTATCTCCAGAGGCAGCATGGAAGTAGTCTGACCCAAACGAGTCTACATTAATACTTTCTTGCATAAAATGTCAAAATGAAACACAGAGTAATTCATATTTATGGGGAATATAAATTGCTTTTTATTTAATCTTGCAAGCATGAGAAAGAAAATTAA